GCCTACTAGTCTTTGTTTGATGGGAAAAAGATGAGACTTTCTAGTCCTGCAAAAAAAAAAAAAAAATTTTTTTTAAGCCTCAGAAACCTTATACAGGGATACTATGAAGGTATTGTACAGGTAACTTGATGGCACTTAACACCGACAACAATCACAATGCACCAATATGAGACTAGTTCCGTCAGTGAGATTGAAACCTTCATTGATAACCTCTAAAATACTATCTAAGGAAGTGTGATGGAGCCATCATGTTTGGTGTCATCTAGTTTACATGTGCCCTTTGTGATGCACCGTTGTTCTCCCTTTTCACTGTGCAAGAAATGAACTCAGACTCAGAAAGTTTAAGGAGCTTTCTGAATTGGCACAGTGACTGTAGCAGCACCAGAATTCACACCTAATCTGTGACTTTGATAACTCCAACATTGTGTGGTACAAAGGCACAAGATGAATCACCAGGTCACCTAAAAAAATTCAATTCCACTAGCATAGAAAACCTGAGTGCTGGGAGAAAAACATGTTTTTTAGCAACTTGTGGGTCCAATAGCAAGCACAACTTTCTTGTTTGATAGCAGTGCTTCAGGAGGGGGCGGGCCCATAGGAAGTTGGATCAGGTCTTCGAAAGGTTCCTAGAAGCCACAGTTATGATACACAGCCACGGATGCACACGGTCACCTCTGGCGGCAGCACTCCTCATTTTCCAAAGAATAATTAATAAATATTTTCTTTTAGCATGTAACAAACAGTTGAACCAAACAATTATGTAAACTGGAAGTGACCCAAACGCGGGCAGTTTGGCAGCAGCGCAGGGCAATGTATTGTGGCGCACATGTGCGTTTTGTCACTCCTCCCTCTCTGGTGATCTGCACTTAATAGGAATATTTTAAACTATGTAGCTAAGCAACAGAGGTAATTGTTGCTTTCTAGAGCTTTTGTTAGCACTCTCACACAGCCCAAATATGCATAATTAGGTATAATGTCTATAAATCATTATTGTACACATGTGGGTAGTTAAGTGGAGTGAGAGAAGAGTTCAATGAATTGAGCATATTCACTGAAAATGCTTTTTATTTGTTTTCTGTAGTTCATAATACTTTGAAATTATCATAACCCTTTACACTTTCTCTTTAATAGCCAACTGAGATATTGAGGAAAACTTCATTTACATTTTAGACTATGTTTAATTTATTACTTAAACCTGGAGTTTTTCTGATGTGAATTCAGGGAGGATAAGCTGTCCCTTCAAATAGTATGCACTTGTTTATCCAGGCTCTCTTCTAGGAAGTAAAATGTTAAATTTTTCAGTTTATGTAGAATAGATCCCAACAAAAGACTGCACCCTATAATCAGCATTATTTAAAGGGGCTAGTGTTGTGACTAAATTCTTCCCTTCATCCAAAAATGCTTTTAGTTACTATGGCAATATTTACTTGATCCTGGCAGTCAGTGTTGATTTAGGGGGATAATTACCAGAAAGGAAGATGATGGAGATGCATTTTTTAGTGTCCTTGTCAGAGACAATGTTTATAAAAAATTAAATGAGACAAAAAGAGGCACATTGTCTTGGGCACAGACATCCTCTACTCGGGCCCTTACCACCAATGGCTAAGCCTTTCTTCTACCTGAAGATGTTGATTTTCACAGAATGCTCTTCACTTGGTGTCTTTAACAGTCTTTAAAGGCCTTATTATTTCTGGTTTCCATCACCCATCTTGCCTTTTGAAGCACAGAGATGGTTCTGCATTTGTTTTTCTTTTCTTTTCTTTTTGGTCCTACTGCATGATAGAAGGACAATTGCTGGGGGTTGGAGCATTTCTCAGCCTGGCATGTCCTGTGTTCTGTGCTCCTCATCTCCTGTGCCTAGACTAGGTCTCCAGCCATCAGAGCCATGGACCTCCGCCTCCTTCCCTGCGCTCCCATTTATGCCTCTATATTGGGATGAACATCAGTAGTGACCACCCAAACTGAAGCATTCCTGGGAATGAAAGGGATAATACTAGGATGGCAGGCACATTGGGGCCATTCTCAGCCAGAGCAATTTTCTGCTATTCATGACTCCAGTTGACCACGTACTGAGAGAATCTAGCTAAATTTTCAGTGCCCTCCAACCACCTCCCCTTCTTTGCTCACTTCCTTTTTACATAAAGACATGTGAAGACCAGACTGGAGAATTTGCTACTTTTTAAGATATTTTTTGATTATGCTAATTTTTCATTTACCAAAATATGACCGTGAGTATATCACACCTGAATTTAGAAACTATCTTAAGGATAGATTTGACGCATTGAACAATAAATAACAAGTTTTGTGATGATATCAAGGATATCACACATGAATAAACCAAAAGGTCATTTTAAAAAGAGAAAAGAAAAATTATAAAGATCAGATTGGATGTGAGAAGAGACTCTGAAATTTGTTCTTGAAGGTAGAATAGCTAAGGTATAAAGAAGAAATAAGGAAGTAAAAGAACTGAACAGAAGATTTCAAAGGGCTACTTGAGAAGAAAAAGTATTATAATGAAATGTGCAAAGACTGGAGTTAGAAAATAAAAAGGTAGAATATGCTCTGCATTTCTGAAGATGAAAGAACAGAAGAAAAGTCGTAGCTATAAGTTGTAATATTGCTTCTGTGGTTAAAAATATTACAAGACACAGGAAACATCAAAAGATGATGGAAGGAATATACGGAGCCACTTTACCTAAAAGAATCAGTATACATTCAACCACTTTAGTAGGAAGCATACAACCTAGAACCGATGGTATTGAAGGAAGAAGTTCAAGCTGTTCTGATTTGTTAGATAACATTGAATAGGTTCTGACTCGTAATGACCTTATGAACAACAGAACGAAACAATGTCCAGCCCTTTACAAACCTCACAATTGTTGTCAAGTTTGAGCCCATTGCTGCCGCCACTGTGCCAATCTATTTCATTGTGGGTATGCTTCTTTCTTGCTTACCCTCTACTTTACAAGCATGATGTCCTTCTCTGGAGACTGGTCCCTCCTAGTAATATGTCTGAAGTATGAGAGACAAAGTCTGGCCATCTTGGTTTCTACGGAGCATTTTGGCTGTACTTCCTCCAATACAGATTTGTGTTTTTCTGGCATTGTGCTTTTAATATTCTTCTCCACGCCATAACTCAGATGCATCAGTTCTTCTATGGCCATTCATTGTCCATCTTTCACATGCATATGAAGCTCATGAAAACACCTTGGTTTGGGTCACACACACTTTAGTCCTGACATCTTAGTCTTTTGAACACTTTAAGAGGTCTTTTGCAGCAATACATCATTTTATTTCTTGACTGCTGCTTCCAGACATTTTTTAAAAAACAAAGCAAAGAAACAAGGCTCCAGGAACTGAGAGAATAACAGTTACAATATTTCATCAAAGGGATACTGTCCTGGAAATAGATCTGAAAAACTATGGGGGATGATATTAGGGAAATAAGCTTCTAAATATATTGTCATGCCAACAGGGAAACCTGAAGATTATTTTCTTGATAAAGTACTGTTGTTGTTGTTGTTGTTGTGTGCCATCAAGTTGATTACAATTCATGTCAACCCTATATAGAGTTTCTGAGAATGGCTGGTGGGTTTGAATGTCAGAATTTGTGGTTAGAATTCAATGCTACACTGGGGCTCTGATAAAGTATAATGTAGCATTGCGTATATTTTATTTCCTTATGGTTGGCTATGAGATGTCTTTACAAGAAAATTATCGTGCTTGGTAAAGTGGAGGGTCAACAAAAAAGAGGAAGACCCCCAACGAGATGGCTTGCCATGGTAGGCAGCAGTAACAATGCACTCGAGCATAACAATTGAGGATGGTACAGGACCAGGCTGTGTTTTGTTCTGTTGTGCTGTGCGTAGGGCTGCTATGAGTCAGAACCAAATTGACGTAACAACAACAAATGGTTGAAGAGGTGGGGAATATAAGACGTGCACTAATAATCATTTCACATTCAAGACTTTGGTTTTAAACATCTACTTCTTGGTCAGTACTCCAGAAACACGTAGCTCTCATTATGCTGAAAATTCTAATAGCTCATTTCTTTAAGGGCAAATCTCAGAACATTAAATTCTAAGATTTGTTTAGAAGTCCTGGGGGTGAAAAAGTTAAGTGTTCTGTTGCTAAGTAAAAGGTTGGTAGTTTTAACCCATTCAGCTGCTCTGTGGGAGAACAACCTGGCTCCCTGCCTTCATAAAAATTACAACCCAGGAAACCCTGTGGGATAGTTCTACTCGGTCACAAGGATCATTGTGAGTTGAATATCCATTAGACAGCACATAACAGCAAAGGTTTGTTTTGCTTTAAGAAGATATACCTTTTACGCCCCAATGTTTATACAATTTATGAATGTCACATAGTAGAACTATAAGAGACCTTCAAAAAGTTCATGGAAAAATTCTGTTACCCTTTAATTCCATGTTTCCATGATCATTTTGAGCCCACTGTATTATATATATGTGTGTGTGTGTGTGTGTGTGTGTGAATGTGCACGTTTGTGTGTGTGTGTATCCTGGTGCCATTGTCTTAAAATATTTTTTGTTCTTCTGATTTAAATACTGGTTTTCTTTTTCTGTAGAAGAAATCATGATAAAACCTATGGATGGCACTCTTTATTCAGCTGCACAAGAAAACTCCAACAGAAAAGAAAACAAATATGCTAGCTACCGAGAACTCGTGGTCAAATCTTTAATGCACTTGGGAAAATTAGAAAATGAAGCATCTATGCAGAGTGTGAGTGAAACCTTAAATGACAGCGGCATCCAGTCTTTAAAAACAGAGAGTGACGAGGTAGACGACTGTTTTCTGTTTCATTCTGATGATGGAAAAGACAGACTCAAGGACCCCCAGCTCCAGTACTGCTCATCTGATGACAGCGAAAGTAACTCAGAAAGCACAGAGAATGGTTGGGAGAGTGGCTCCAATTTCTCAGAAGAATCCAAAACACGTAGAATCTCCAAGTATATTTTAGTGGATGATAAAAAAGACTCATTGGAAGTTCCAGAAATAAAAGCAGAAGGTGAAAATTTTATCCCTTGTAAAAACATGCCTGATCCGGAAGTGGAAAGGAAAGACCCTCCGAAGTCTCACGTGGAACCCCTGGATGGCCAAGCCCAGCCTCCCTTTCCAGAGCATGAGGAAGATCATCAAGAGTGCCTGTCCAATATGATCCAGGAGACTAGGGACCTGGAAAAAGCCCAGGGCAACTTAAATTTGCTGGAGCAAGCTATTGCATTACAGGCAGAGCGCAGCCGCGTATGCCATAACTCTTACAAAGACCTGGATCGGTTCCTTCTGGAGCACCTGGCTGGGGAAAGGAGGCAAGCCAAAGTTATTGACCTGGGTGGAAGACAAATCTATAACAGCAAACGTAAGACACATCTTTACATTACTGTTGGAACACAATTCTTTTAACATTTGAAAATAAATTAACTGCATTTCGTTATTTATAGCAGATCATTATGGGGTGGGGGGGGGATTTAAAAATGCATTTCTACTTGGTTGGTTGGTTGGTTATGTGCCGTGGAGTCGGAACCGACTCATAGCGACCTTGTACAGGGTTTCCGAGGCTGTAAATCTTTAAGGGAGCAGAAAGCCTCATCTTTCTCCCGCGGAACAGCTGGTACTTTCAAACTGCCAAACGTGAGGTTAGCAGCCCGATTTGTAACCACTCACTCACTATGGTACCAGAGCTCCTACTAGGGCTCCTTTAATGTAATATTTGTTGTTGTTAAATGTCATCTAGTCAGTTCCGACTCATAGGGTTTCCGAGGAGTGACTGGTGGGTTTGAACTGCTGACATTGCAGTTGGCAGTCCATTGCTTACCCTGTAGCCTCACACCAGAACTCCTTAAATGTCATGTGTTGTTTTTAAGTGCCATCGAGTTGATTTCAATTCATTGCAACCCTGTATAGTGTTTTCGAGGTCTGATAGGTGGGTTTGAACCAACAACCTTGTGGTTAGCAGTCCAGTTTTTATCCTATAGTGTCACACCAGACTCCTAGTGTCATACAATGAGGAGCAAACTAATAATGTCATGTAGACCTACTGTAATGGGTGAGGTGGGGATGGCATGTTAATGATGATTGTACTCAGATCAAAGGAGGTCTTTTGACTTTTGGGGGGTTTTTTGTGGTTGTTTTCCCTCCAGCATTTTCACAAGCAAAGAAAGGATCTATTGCCTTTATTTCTCATTGTTTGATTGTTATTTAAATGTATCTACCACCACCACTTGCCATGGAGTCAACCCCAACTCATGGCAACCCCATGTATATAAGAATAGAATTCTGCTCCATAGAGTTTTCAATGGATGGCTTTTCAGAAGTAGATAACCAAGCCTTTTTTCTGCAGTGTCTCTGCATGGGCTTGAACTTCTAACCTTCTGGTTAACAGCCAAGAGTTGTAACTAGTTGCACCATCCATTGACTTTTACTATATGTTGTTGTTGTTGTTGTTAAGTGCTGTCAAGTCGATTCTCATAGCAATCCTGTATAGTGTTTCCAAGGAGAGGTTGGTGGATGTGAACTGCTGATCTTGCTATTCTATCTGACCTGTGGTTCAGTGCTTTATCCTACAGGGCCATACCAGTACAAGTACTTTATCAGCCATTATCATTTGATTGGCCAAATAAATTCCAGAATTTTTTTTATCTTTATTTTACTTTCCCACCTTCATTCAGGGAATATCTGATTGATTTTTTTTATTCCAAAATAATGGCAAACCATTTGCAAGCTAGAAAGGATATTGTGATTCTTTTCAGAATAAAACTAGATGTTAATGAGTTTAGAAGTTTCACAAGCTCTCTAACTCAGATTCACAAATAGGTCAAACAAATATAAAGAGTCAATGTGCTTTGAGGAAACCTTACAGTTATTGCCTAAACTTTAGGACAATAAAGGTACTGTCATAAGTGCTGTCCTGCTGTCATACAGGTACTCCTCTCTCTGTCCCCATATCTGTCTCTGTCTCACTCCCTGGCCCTTTTACCAGTTGGACTTAACATTGATACTAAGTTAGGCAGAGCTTCTTAAATGGTGGTCATTTAGTACCCAGGCCACCATCACCAGTTGCTGTCGAATTGACTCTGACTCCTGGTGTCTCCATGTGTGTCAGAATAAAACTGTGCTCCGTGGGTTTTCAATGACTGAATTTTGGGAAGCAGATCGCCAAGCTTTTCTTCCAAGGCCCCTCTGGGTAGATTCAAATATCTAACCTTTTAGTTAGCATTCACGTGCATTCATCATCCACACCACCCATGAGATTTTCAGTGAGTGCCCAGGAAGCTTGTTTCAGATGTGTCTTCCCAGGATCTAATCAGACTTATTACACAAGAAATCAGGTATGGATTAAGAATCTGCATTTTGCTAGTAGGTTCTTCAGGTGATTCAGGGGCACCCTCAAGCCTGAGAGCCACAGAACTAGGGGAGGCTTATAAAAGAGAAAACCAAGGTCATGGATTAAAAATGCTTACTAGGATAAAATGCTAGTATGCTTTATAAGTTCTTGGTCGCTGAGCTTTCTCCAGGAATGAATTGTATATTTTGTCATTTTTAAGCCCATTTTAGTACTCACCTGACATCTTTCCAATTAACTTCTTACAGCTCAGAGCTGAGGAAACAAAAAAAAGAATAAAATAATGCCATGACTCACTGGAAAAACTCATTGCTATAGAGTTAATGATGACTCACAGCCACCTATAGTACAGAATAGAAGGGGCCTAGTAAAGTTTCTGAGGCTATAATCATCACAGAGGAGTCCTGGTGTGGCACTCTAGATAAGCACTCTTTTCCTATGATGCAACTGGTGGATTCAAACCACTGACCTTTAGGTTAGCATTCCAGCACTTAACCACTGTACCACCAGAACTCCTTTAATGTCATATTGTTTTTGTTGAGTGCCATCGAGTCATTTTGACTCATAGAGACACCCTGTATAGGGTTTCCGAGGAGCAGCTGGTGGGTTTGGCGTATAGTGAAGAGCAAAATAATAATGCCATGCAGACCTACCTCAATGGGTAGGGTGGGGGCAGCATGTGAATGCTGTGTGAGTCTTGGGGAAGGAAACCATAGACTTAGCTCTGGACATACACAAATATGCAACTTGTTGGATTTCTCTCTCTCTCTCTCTCTCTCTCTCTCTCTCTTTCTCTGTGTGTGTGTGTCTAAAGAGTAAAAAAATCAGAAAAGGGTAACATTTACTCCAAATTCCCCAGACCAATCATTTCTAATATACTATATTTCACTGATTCTAAGAAATACAGTTTCCCCATGTTAACAAATCTGAAATAAGTGGATATACTATAGATTAATTTTCAGTAGTTATTTCGATCTTAATAGCACACAAAAAAATGTTTCTTCTTACAGCCAATGAAATACAGTGTTTTGGAAAACCCTTAATTATTTGTGGCACAGCATAAAATACCTGAGAATCATTTTTACAAAATTTTTTATACTTTTTTGTTTGTTTTCAAGGCTATGGTATCTGTGTTTATAAACATAAGGTCATGTTGAAGACTTGGAGAATTATTAACGGGGCTGATGTACCCTATTGCATGGGATGTGGTCCTGCCTTGGCATCAGGAACAAAGGCTATATTGCTGTGTTAAAAGCTTATACATGGATATGCACATAAACTAGTATGGAACGGAACCCGATAAGGTGATACTCATGGTGCAGAGGAACCATGGCCTCATTCTAAAGGATGACCATAGAAGGCCAATTCACACTCTGTCCATTGGTCCAGATGTGGAGCAGTGGCATCTGAGGCACTGTTTTCTCTGATAATGCATACCATCAGTCAACATGCATCATAACTGAAGATATTGTTCACCAAAACATCATCCCCACTCCCATTCACCTTGGTCATGTGACTCCTCTGCTAAGGAGAGAACACTAGAATTATGCAAAATGATTTTACCCAAGTCTTCAGATGAGTTGGGCAATTATGACATATATTAAGTTGATGACATTATTAAATATGTAGCGAGCGTCATTCTATAATTTTGTTCAGCTGGGGATACCTCTAGACTGAATCCATCGATTATAAGAGTATAACAGGTGTGAACAGGGACTATACCAGACAAACCAGGATGTTAGGTCCCAGATATAAGGGCGCCTTCATTATGCAGCATTGTGCTAAGGAGGAAAAAAAAAAAAAAAAGGAAAGAAGCCAGGAGGCCTGAGAGTTACCCTGAGCTCAGGCTCTGTTTTCTTATCATACAAACAGGTTTTGCCCTAAAAAGCATTTCATCAGCATCTTTGTTTCACCCAGCAGAAAAGAGACTTGCAGACAAAGGTGCATGATGGCCTGTCAGTGGGCCACACCTGGTCAGGTGCCAGGCCTTATCTCCAACCCCTTCTCTGGCTTCCTACAGACAAACAGTATGGCAAGGAGTGAAATGCTCCATGCCAAACCTATCAATGGGGTTTAGAAATGTGGTCTCAGGTGGACACAATCCAAGAGAGGAAGGGCATCAAAATACATAGTGTTGCTTTTCTCATTTTCTCCAAAACAGTCTCATATAATGTCACCCCTCCTAACTTCACTTTAGCCAGACTTTGAGAATTTTGACTGGTATTCTACAGATACTTAATGGCCAAGTCAGCTTGAAATTTAACAACATTTTTGGATTACATAAACTATCCATAAAACCATACGACATATCAAGACTCTTAAAATAAGTCTCTTGGTGTTTTATGAAATACAAACATTGGTCATTGTAGCTGGGTGCCCTCGAGTTGGCTCTGACTCATGGTAAACTTATGCAAAATAGATCAAAACACTGCCTGGCACTGCACTAGCCTCAAAATTGTTATGTTTGAGCCTATTTTAGCAGGCACTGTGTCAATCCATTGCATTGGGGGTCTTTTTCGCTGACTCCCTTTGACCAAGCATGATGTCCTTCTCCAGAGACTGGTCTCCCTTCTGACAGTATGTCCAAAATATGAGCGACAGAGTATAACTTTCTTGACTTATAAGGAGAATTCTGGCTGTACTTCTTCAAGACAGATTTGTTTGTTATTCTGGCAGTTTGTAATGCTTTCTGTATTCTTCTCCACCAACATAACAGAAATGTGTCAATTCTTCTGTGGTCTTCCTTAATCATTGACCAGCTTTCACATCCATATGAGGTGATTGAAAAAATCATGGCTTGGGTCAGGCAGACCTTAGTCCTCAAAGTGGCACCTTTGCTCTTTAACACTTTAAGGAGATCTTTGGCAGCAGGTTTACTGAATGCTTATTTTCTTAACACAACATTGTTGTTATGTACCATCGAGTCAACTCTGACTGATAGCGCCCCTTAGAATTTCCAAGGAGAGGCTGGTGAGTTTCAACTGTCTACTTTGTGATCAGCAGCCCAGTGCTAATCCAGCACACTCCAGCATTCTCAACTTTAAATCCTGTCCCAAAAATCAATTACTGCTACATATCCCTATCCTTCAACTGCTAACTGCTTGCTTATAATCTACCCTTCTCTCTTTGAAGCTCCTCTGACCTAGTGGGTTTGTTACACCTTGGTGGCTTCTTGGGACCATGCTGAAACCATGCCCCCATATAATGGTATAACATATGACTTACTATGCCTTGTATGTTTGGCACCATTCATGCCCCCATATAATGGTATAACATATGACTTACTATGCCTTGTATGTTTTGGCACCATTTGTTACACCTTGGTGGCTTCTTGGGACCGCTGCTGAAACCATGCCCCCATATAATGGTATAATATATGACTTACTATGCCTTGTATGTTTGGCACCATTCATAACCCCAAAACTGGATGACCTAGTGTCATGGGGGTACATCGCTTTCCCCAAAGTGTCATCCTGAGATATCTGCTGCATCTTTCCCTTTTCTCTGCAAAGTACTGCAAAGAGAAATATGTGAGCTTCCATACACAGATACAGGCCTTCACTCTCATTCCTTCTCCAGCTGGGTCTTTGTGACAGGATCATATGCATTATTTATTTTTACTCTTAGCCTCAAGTGTGCTCATTGCTGCTGGTCTCCTGCCCCTAGAGTCCACAGTCTACATAGAGTCGAAGTAGAAGATCCATGGGTGTTTGTGGTACTGGACTACACAGAAGTGTGGAAGCAAATGTGACCATAATGATGCTTTTTAGAAATATATCTACCGTTTCAATCACGATTGAAGACACCTACTAAAGTGTCATTTGTATCAGCTATGTCCTTATCACGGTCTATGAAGTTCTGGTTTGTTTACATCTTTCTCTACCCCTCAGCAGTGTGGGCCAGGAAATCAAAACAATTCCCTGGGAGTGTCTTCAGACCTCTCTTCTCAAGGCCTGTCCGGTGGCAGCTGGAAAATCTGGGCTGAAGGCATCTCTTTTACCTGCCTGGTTGAAACTACTAGGCCATGCTTCCCAGTTCATGCATACAACATTCTCCCAGGTACTTCCAGCTCCTTTGAGTCTCCAGAAAGGGCATCTCCCTAGGCTTTTGCTCCAAGAGTCTGTATGTGCATCCAACAGAGCAGCACACTATTGTTGCTTCAATGGAATGGAGGCTGCTGGGTAACCGGAGACAGCATGGAGACTCTCCCAGCCTGACCTCCCAGGCATGCTGCTCTGCAGAGCTGGAAGCACTGGCACCAAGAGCTGCACCCCTGGGTTCCTCAGTGAGGCTGCCAGCCACTCACAGCCACAGGCTGGAGGGGCCTTGTCTGAAAGAAAAAAAAGGCTTCAGCTTTTTTGTTTTGTAACTTTGACTTGCGCTTTTTCCAGATTCTTTTAATAGGATGTGGCTGTAGCTTGAATAGCTTCTTTCTTCTCTCTCACTTTTTTTCATTGTTGGGGGCCCATGGATCCTCTGGGTAGAATCGACTTGACATAATGAAGCTCTAACTACAATATGTGTCATGACAGCTTAAAACCATGTCTGTGTTTTAGCACTCTTTTGCCCTGTGTCAGCCTTTGCTTAGGAAACCAAGAAAATTGAAAACATTTTAATGTTTCCACAGGTCTTAGTTGAGGGTCTTATTCAAGGCAATGTGAGAAGAATGCTTATGATGCTAGAACTGAACCAAATGAGAATGTCAGGTCTACAAGGCCACACGATTGAATGGGACAGGAGAGAAAATAACCAAATTAATTTCTCCATCTAATCTCTCCACAGACTCACCAAGGCCTGACAAGAGGGAGACAAAGTGCCCCATCCCGGGGTGCGATGGCACTGGGCATGTGACTGGGCTCTACCCGCACCACCGCAGCCTCTCAGGCTGCCCCCACAAAGTGCGGGTCCCCCTGGAAAGTGAGTATTTTCTAGTCACAAAGAGACAGGCTTTCAAGTAATGTACCAGAATACCTTTACCTTTCTCTTCCAATCTGGAAATTAGGAAAGGAAATGTAAGTTTTCGATTGTTATCTTGATGGCAATTTCAGTCCAGCTATGTACCTGCACAGACCCTCTGATCCAGAAGCTCAGCTTCTTCCAGTCCTGGAGGAATCTTCCTCTCAGTGCATCGTCCAAACACAAGGGGACATCATCTGAGCACACAGGCGCACCATGGCAGTCAGGGATGTCTTGTGGCCACCCTCAACAGTAGGAACGCACATGCTGGGATTCCATCTCAGCACAGCCTACAGTAGGGAGAGCCTGAACAAGAGCTTAGACTCCCCGGTGACAGCCCCACTGAAAGCCATGGACCAGAAAGGAAAGGCAAACATCACCTCCTCTAAAGTCTCTACAAATCAATATGTTCCATCCTCTGCTTTTTGAGCTTATTAGGGAAATACCTGTTGAGTTACACAAACTGCAGCAATGAGAACACCTCAACATCACCTTTATCAAAAGTAAAATTCTGCAAATCACTGAACCCAATCAGCTCAGCACTGTGCTCCAGGACAAGCAGCTCCTCAGACTGACTCCTGGGTTCTGTCACCAAGCTTTCAACAATAACCAAATGGTAGTGAAGCAGAATTTAGGGTGGGAATAAATTAAAAATTTGAACAAGCTTGCTGAATTTAGCTTTTGGAGTTCTTCAAAACATGGGGAGAGAACATGGTGGATTACATAACTAAATTGAATGCAAAACTGGGAAATAACTTTACTAGTGCATTTTGTATTTATGGTAAATTATCCTTTTCTTTTATGTCCTGTTTTGTGCTTAGTTCTTGCCATGCACGAAAATGTCCTCAAGTGTCCCACCCCAGGCTGCACAGGACGAGGCCACGTGAACAGCAATCGTAACACCCACCGAAGGTGATTCCAAGGAGATGCTCATCATTTTTCATTAAAATAAAAATAAGTGAGAGAAATTTTCCACCAATAAAATAATGAACTAACAAAATGTTTCATCACTATCAAATACCACTTGAAGTAGATAAGATCTATTCTCATTGTGTATAGATTGAAAGAAAAAGGAAAAAAAACTCATTATATTTTTCCTAGAAATTGGCATGTTAGCAGTCAATTAAATAGCCCAACCACCCTCAAATTTTATATTTTGAAGTTGTTGGAGTTATTTATTCATGTAGATACCTGTATAAATAGAAACTGTTCTCTTTTGCTCTGGGACTTTGCCATAAGTGTCTTGCTACTGAAAAGAGCTGATTCAAGATTATCTTGGCTCATATTCAACAAATATTAAAAGGGACTTCAATATACAAGTGTTTTGACTATAAACCAAGCTTAAGGTAGATATTGTTTCTTTGAAGTTGCTACTAACATAAAACATAGATGCATATTTATATGGAAACGTATTCTGCATATGTAAATATTTTGATGTTGTTGTTGTTATGTGCCTTGGAGTCGGTTCTGACTCATAGGGACCCTGTCAGGGTTTCCGAGGTTGTAAATCTTTACGGGAGCAGAAAGCCTCATCTTTCTCCCACGGAACAGCTGGTAGTTTCGAACTACTGACCCTGAGGTTAGCAGCCCAATTCGTAACCACTATGGAACTGTTTATTGTTTTATGTGTACCTTTTATATTATGCATAGATTATGTGGCCATTATTTATTTATAAGTATATTCCCAGAAAGCTTCAGTTCCTATACTTTCAATGTAAAGTAAGATATAAAAGTTAGTCACTAAAATTTTACTAAAATCCTCTGATGAATCATGGAGGAGTTACTATGCTGACTTCTGCAGTTGGACACATGGTAATTTAATTGAGCACATTCCACTAAAATACTAAGAAGTTTCTGTGTAATTTAGTCATTTCTCCATTACATAATACTTTGCTTTTAAAAAAAAAATCATTTTTTTTTTTGTCTCTGATTTTGTCTCTGATACAGGGTTGGGAAAAACAGTTGACATTATAGTTTACAAAAACCCTTTGGGATCTTTTAATGTGATACTGGCTCTAAGTGAGCTATCAATATGACCTAACATTTAGCATGTTCCAAGTATATTGTAAGACACATGCCAAGGCAACCTCCATTAACATTTTAACTCAAATCCTCCCACTTTTTTTTTTAAAACAGTCTTTCTGGTTGTCCAATTGCTGCAGCTGAAAAATTGACAATGTCCCAGGATAAAAATCAGCTTGATTCTCCCAAAAGCGGGCAGTGTCCTGACCAAGTTCACAGGTACGAAACTCACATGATATTCCTGACCATGTTTGTGTCCTGCTCTAGTGCAATGGGACTTCTTATCCATCATTAGTCAGTCTCACTGGGGCCTGACCTTAATTCTGAGCTCCCCAGATACCTGTGTCTGCAGCTCATGTGAGAGTCCTAGCTAGATTATCCCTCTAAGACTTTCACTTGAAATTAACCCATTTGCAAATGTAGCATAATGTGGGTAAGTTAAAAGAAATAAAATATATGAGTACATACCCAAACCAACAAACTAAACTCATTGTCATCAAAGATTCCAACTCATGAAGACCTTTGTTGTTAAGTGCTGTCGAGTCAGTTCCAACTCATAGTGACCCTGTACAGGGTTTCCGAGGGTGTAAATTTTTACAGGAGCAGAAAGCCTCATCTTTCTCCCACGGAGCAGCTGGTAGTTTCAAACTGCTGACCTTAAGGTTCGCAGCCCGATTCGTAACCACTACGCTACCAGAGAGAATAGAACTGCTCAGTGGGGTTTCCGAGTTTGTAAATCTGTACAGGAGCAGATTGCCTCCTCTTTCTCCCACAGGGCTGCTGGTGGACTCAAACAACAAATTTGTGGTTAGCAGTTCCATGTTTAAACTAGTACAATACTCTACATTTAACCAGTCTCACTGGTCCATTCAACACTCAGTTATAATTGACTTAACCTTTTTGCATGGAGAAAAATGTCATCATAAGTAAATCGTTGTTGTTGTTAAGTAATGTCAAGTCAGTTCTGCTCCACAGTAACCCTGTATAGGGCTTCTGAGGAGTGACTGGTGAATTTGAACCATTGACCTTGTGGTTCAAACTGACCTTGTGATCCAGTGTTTATTTTACAGTGCCACACCAAGATTCCAAAATCAATATTCAACCAAAATATGGATAATTATGCATATGCACCCTTGTTTCATATATAGAGGGCCTGAGCAGCGCCTTGAGTAAGTGCTTTGATGCTAAGAGAAAAGTTGCTGGCTCTGGTCCACCCAGAGGTGAATCAGAAGGTAGCCTGATAATCTACTTATGTAAAGCCCCAACCTTGAAAACTCTACGGGACAGTTCCGACACACATGAGTTCTACATGAATCAGAATTGCTTCAGTGTTTGGTTTCTTTAAACAAAAATTCATCACATAAACTGGTAACTACTAAAATATCTTCTATTGTTTCTTGTGAAATCCTGGTGTGGCACTGTAGAATAAGCACTAGACTGCTAAATAAGGTTGTTACTGTTAAATGCCTTTGAGGTCTACCCATAGGACCCTATGTAGGGTTTCTAAGGAGTAGCTGGTGAGTTTAAACTGCCAACCTTGCAGCTCAAACTAGTCTTGCTGTCCAGCGCATTATACTTCAGTGCCATACCAGGACCATAAGGTAGGCTGTTTAAACCCATCAGCCGCTCCTTGGAAATCCTATACCGGGTCAGTATGACTTGGAATCAACTCATTGGCACTTAACAACAATAGCAACCTTGTTCCTGGTAGCCTCCAGTTCCTTCACAGTGTCCAGTAGTTTTAAAGCCCTTATAAACTAGATAATAAAAGATTTGTGATGATACTTAACATGGAGTTCTACATTTATCTGTACAAAAATCATAAAGTTAGGAAACGTGATTTCAGGTCCCAGACAGACACCAGAACTAACTTCATTGTTGCTGCAGAGTAACTGAAATGGAGAATTGTTAGAAGTTTTAGCATGTTTCCAGGGTGTTTTTTTTCCCTTAATATTTTGCTTCTTTAGATTTAATTAAAAGACAAAATTCCACATCAGTGAAAAATAAATGTCAAGCAAAGATCATGAATTACTGTATAAATCAGAATTTAACCTCTTAAAATAGGACTTCTGATTAGTGTTACTGTATTATCTAAGTTTTTCCTTTAGTAGGTTATTTATCAAAGCTATAAATAGCATTCTTTCATTTTGCTCATTTCTTAAAAGGTAAATATTATCTTGGGTTAGAGCAGTGATGAAACTTTAGAGGTGTAAGCTCAGTTATTCATACAATAAGATCAGTTATCACTCAAAGGTTTTCATGTAGTGGCTAACACTTTTTTTTTTTCATCTAATCCAAAAAATACAGCATTAAATTTTGACCTTTTTATAAGTTAGGCATATTTTGATGGGACACAAGAAAAAAGCTATGTTTTTTAAATTAGTAAATTCTAAAAGGTGTATTTGTTTATATTCTTACCATTGTGCCTTTGGCTGGAGTTGATGACATGCAAATGTGGTGCCATTGTTGAATTCAAACTCGGTCATTCTAAAGGAATGTTTTATTCATCTTTAGCTAGGGCTGGGATAACTGGTGAAAAACAAGATAGCTAGTGCAATACAGTAATTTTGATTCATATTGAATTTAATAGATAAAACACTGAAAGACTATTTAAAATATTACTACTGCAAAATAGATTGAAAGTGAGGAAGAATGGTGAAATGTCTAAGAAGAAGGAGCTCTGGTAGCGTAGTGGTTACGAATTGGGCTGCGAACCTTAAGGTCAGCGGTTCGAAACTACCAGCCGCTCCGCGGGAGAAAGATGAGGCTTTCTACTCCCGTAAGGATTTACACCCTCGGAAACCCTGTACAGGGTCGCTATGGGTCGGACCCGACTCGATGGCACTTAACAACAACAACAACAAGTGTTTGCTGTTAGGTTTCAGTCATCTCTGCAGAGTTGAATGGAAACTCAGCACTTACTGTTCTGAACAGAATCTAATTACATTTTCTCACTAGTTATGGTGTGACACTGTAGAATAAACACTGAACTGCTAACCACAGGGTTGACAGTTCCAACTACCAACCAATTCTCAGAAACCTTATATAAGGTTGCTCTGAGACAGAATCAACTCGATGGCAATTAACAACAACAGCAACACCAGCTATAAGCAAAAGTATTTGCTGCTAACTCTATCACCAGTTCTAACAAATGACGTGTGCAAACCTTGCATGTGCACTAACCAGTACCTAGTGATGACACTTTTCTCTAAAACGTTCAGAGTGCTAACAAACATTTAACACTTGATCCTCATTGTTGTCATCAAGTGCTGTCAAGTTAGTTCTGACGCATAGGGACCCTGTATAGGGTTTCCAAGGAGTGGATGGCGTGTTTGAACTGCTAGTCTTATGGTTAGCAGTCCAGTCCATGCTTATCCTACAGTGCCACAACAGGACTTCTCATAGTGGTGGTGGTTATGTGCTGTGGAGTCGGTTCCGACTCATAGCGATCCTTTACGGAAGCAGAAAGCCTCATCTTTCTCCTGCGGAACAGCTGGTAGTTTCGAACTGCTGACCTTGCAGTTCGCAGCCTGATTCTTAACCACTATGCTACCAGAGCTCCTTAGGACATCTCATGGTACCTACATATCCCTCTTATACCCTCGTGAGACTGGGAAAAAGAACATGGCCCTCAACCCCACATAGCACAAAAAGCATCCTCAGAATTGTGACTCAGCTCTCTATAGAGTGTGATATCTCTGTGGGACCCAGTGAGAGTTACTTGCATGTCCAGTCCATTTTCAGTTCTAATACTAATATGCTCACCAATTGCTATTACTGTTAGTGCCCTAGAGTCAGTTCTGAATCATAGCAACCATGTATAGGGTTTCTGAAGAGTGGCTGGTGAGTTTGAACTGCTGACTTTGTGGGTCAAACAGACCTTTATGCTAACCAGTAATTTCATATCATTTCTTTTGAACTACTCCTCTCTCTCTCCAGGGCGAGTTTAGTGAAGCAAATTGAATTCAACTTTCGATCACAAGCCATAACCTCTCCCAGAGCCACTGTTTCAAAAGAACAAGAGAAGTTTGGAAAAGTACCATTTGATTATGCCAGCTTTGATGCCCAGGTTTTTGGCAAGCGCCCCCTCCTGCAAACAGGCCAAGGACAAAAAACACCACCATTTCCTGAATGTAAGCTTCCAATTTAATACTCAATATCAACCAAAAAGATGTACGATGTATGTGTATGTTCTCAAACATATAATATACTCTTTACAGCTGGAAAGAGAGAAACTATGTTGTCCAGTAACATGAAATAAGGAAATAATGATGTTGATCTATGGAACTGATTACACACTGAATATGGTGAATACGTAATGAGTAATGTATTCTACAAATATGGTGCCGTTGCTGATCTAAATACAACAATTCTCAAAGAAGATTTAATTATTTAACTGGGATTGAGAGTAATATGCTGAAATATAGAACAGCTGTTATAATATAATATTTTTGATTTGGATAAAAATTGTGGAAATAGTATTTAAATAAAATTTGAAATAGTATTTAAATAATAAAAAACATTCGGTTTGAAAGTGGGGAAAATGGTGTCAAGTCTAAGAAGAAACTCATAATTCAAGAGTCAAGTTTTTTGCTAGAATAAAGTCTGGGTATACGTAGGTGTGTGGGTGCGGCTATGGAGATATTTACCTACAAATTCAAGAATTCATATAGAAACATGAATTATGTTAATACTCTGAATGAAAACATTTAGAAGACCCTAATTCAAAAATGGTGTAACATATAAAACAATGCTTTCACTTTCTTTGTTGTTGTTGTTGTTAAGTGCTTTAGAGTCCTTTAATATTCTCATGAAAAGGTGAGAAAGTAAAGTTTGTGAACAAACACAGAGAATGATTTCTGTGTTTCAGTAACTTATTTTTATTCTTCTTATAACTAATCATCACCCCACTTGGAGTCTTTCTTAAACCATACATTTCTTTTAACAACTTCTTACAGATCCTTGGAATTTCTTTGATCCAATTTAACTAAACTGAGCAATCTTGTTGTTGTTAAGTGCCTTCAAGTCAGTTTCAAATTATAGTGACCTTTTATAGGATTTCCAAGGAACAGCTGGTAGGTTTGAACTGCTGACCTTGTGGCTTGCAGGCCAGTGCTGATCTTACCGCCCACACCAGAAGTCCTTGCTTCCTTATATGATATTAATCAACTCTTTCAAATTATTAGAATGCCCTGTAAAACCCAGCAGTAGATCATCAGACTCAAAGGCCGTTAAGTGCATTATGCTCCAAAAGATACTTGATTTTACCTATTCTTACCAAAGATAGATCCCAATCAACATAGAAAACCTGTTCATATTAGGAAAAAAATATGCACATAAATACACATGTATATACAAACATACACATAATTTGTGTATATATTTTATTATGTATATATGCACACACAATATGTAAAAATCCATACATTCATACACATATGCTTAATTCAAACAAAGCTAGTTAATTCATGCATTCTATATATTTACATGCATCTTAAAGGACGTGAAATAGTCAATGACTTTTCCACATACTTAGAAGGATAGGAATAATATTTCATGATGTTTTAAATTTTGATTTATGAAAAGTAATGATCAAATACTTAAGATAAATAATTTTTAAAGCAAAATAAATAACTAAATGCTTTGCTATTATCCCATATTGACTCTAGATACTTTTCCCATACGTGATAGGTACAAACATCCTAGAGTGCAGAGAAATATGTTTAATTCCATTTCTCAATATGCCTTGGCACTCGTGACAGAAACATGAAATCCAACCTCAGCCTTGATATCTAAAGGGCCTTTCTACTCACCTTGAGAACATTTTCTCTTTGTCTTTTGCTTATTGCACTGTTTCTGAATGTGCAAAATGCTAGCTCAGTTAAGATGCTGCCATTTATTTGGTTGAATGCAGAACAACTTCTCATGATTTAAGTACATAGTAAACATGTATATTAAATGATTAAAATGTAATCCATATGTAGGTATAAATTGTTCTCATGAAAACACAAACTGGAAGGCTAGAGTTCTCCTTTACCTACCTATAACCTGTCCTTTCATTTGTCCAGTTTTAAGATGTGCATGCTTGGTGGATTTTGTTAGTGCAATTTTGATCTGCAATTTTGTGTCACACACCTTGCCAATACACCTGCCTGATAGCATTATTTATGGAGTTTTGTTAGAAGATGTGAAGACACAAATAAATAATATTAAGAGAACAGGCATTCTCTCAGCAACCACATTCTTTGATCTGTGAGCCTGTTAAAGCCAATCCAAATAGCCTTCATTTACTATCCCAGTGGATCGTGTTTTAATTTATTCTTCCCATTTTCTAATGGAATAAGTTATAACTTAACAAACAAATCTATTTAATTACTAAAATCACATATATGCAATTGCTAATCAAATCTTTTTTCAACAGCAAAGCATTTTTTAAACTCAGTGAAATTTCCAAGCCGACTGCCTAGCACAGGCGCCCACACACAGAGCCCTTGCCGTGCCAGCTCTTACAGCTACGGTCAGTGTAGTGAAGACACCCACATAGCAGCAGCTGCTGCCATCCTGAACCTTTCCACCCGCTGCAGGGAAGCTGCTGAGATCCTCTCCAACAAACCACAGAGTCTGTCTGCCAAGGTAGGACAGTCCAAGAACCCAGAGGGGGGGCCCAGCAACTGAACGGTGAGCGTAAACTGCCTTCATGTTCACAGCTACACTCATTCGCACTCATCACCCCTCCCTGGAAAGCACATCTCTTTCTCTATCCTAGGAAGAGAGTCAGAGGAACATTTGTGGTGATAAACTTAGGTCACTCAAGAAAGAATGGAAGGTAGCATGCATTGCTCTGTAGCTAATATTGGCTGTGGTATGCCAACGCTTGGGGAAGAGTGAACTATGAAGACTGATTGAGGAGAGTTCATAGATCTCAAACACATTTTTGTGATGGAGGATTTGGCACACAAGATGAGGGTTACTATAAAAACAAATGGAAGCTTTTTGTGGTCTGCAAAGAAAATAGAGTAAGGAAGGTTTTATTAAGCTATGAGACTTGTAAAACATTTACAAAATTGTCTCATGGAATTTTACTACTGCTCATGTTGATGCTGCATAATCTGAGATATATATATATGTATGTATGTATGTATATTGCTATAATAGTCTCAGAGTACACCAGGATAAAGAATATTGACAAGAGGTAGTTTGGGATGGGGTACGGGTACTCAGGGTGTCCAAATTCAAAACCAGATTCTCTGAAGTTTATGAAACATTTGTACAACCCATAAAATTACTTACATACCATTAATAATTTCCAACTACCAGTGAGAAGTCTAAATACATGTGGATAATAACTTGATGAAAACAAAACCAAGGGTCCTTCCAGACTTCCCTTTTGTCTGAAGCAGTTTATTACACAACCAAGTAGCAGTCGCCCCAGGATATTGTCAGAGCTGCTTGGTCATTTGTTCCTGAGGCCTCTCAGTCAGTGACTCTGTCTTCATGTTGACACAAAGGACTTCCATTTTTAAAAAAATTATTATTTTCTGAAGCTGATGGCAGAAGCCAGTTGGAGTAAAGAGCCCACATCTCTTCTAAAAGCAATGTATCCTTGCTTTCAGTGGAAGGTTCACTGACTAAACTATATTTCTGAAATTCAGGTGATTAAAGCAGACAGCCATTTTTGATTTCTTAAATGCCACCCTTACTCACTGTGTTGTCTACTGTTCATCTGGGACTTCAGAAGAGTGGGTAGCACAGTGCTATCAAGTGTCTGACCAATGAAGCAGAATTACCTTCTGGGTGAAGCCCAGCCAAGGAAACTCCAGGAAGATTTGGTGGCCAAAACCACTCAAAAAATATTCTAAACAAATAAGGTTCTTAAACAAAGAAAAATACACTCTCTAAAAGTCTAAAGAAAATAGCAAGCTATTCAAATTCAAAGCAATCCAAGTCAGAAGTTGTTTATATAAATGAATCACTTAAGTAACTAAAAAATTCAGCTTGAGTTATTTTTAAATTCCTTTTTAAAACTTGAATAAATTTCTCTTTTTAAACAAATATTTTGATAAGCAACTAATTGAAGAAATACTGAAGGTCTGACCTTCTCAGCGCTTTATTATTTGGTTGCCTCAGATGTCCCATAAGAAAAAAACAAAATTGCCAGTATCAGAATTAGGAAAACTATTTAAGTGACGATCAAACTCTAGAATGACTGATTCCACCAAATGCAAGTGTAGACATTTTATTTATTGTTTCTCAGATTTTTGTCTTTAATCCCATAATCTGTTAAATGCTGAAAGAATCAGATAAAAATGACTAAAATCTGAGGGGTTTTACCTTTATCAATATATATTTCTTTCTTATTAAAGCACATTTCTGGTCAGAAAAGTGACTGGTAAATTGATACCTTTTTGAAAACTCAAATAACCCATTCATTTCCTAAGCACTTTCTTCCTCTCCTCCTAGATGGTTTATTCTCTGGAGGGCACAACACACAAGGGTGGTCTTGTCCCTTTTGCAACACTGGTAACAGAGCTTTAGTTGTAGAAACCACACAACTGATGGACAATGATAATGTAAGAGACAGCAAAGACCCAGATTCATTTTGTTAATGTTTGTTATACTGGTGGATATAGGAACCATTTTCCCATGACAGTTGTCTCCTTTGATACAAAAGTTGTTAAAATGGGATAAATGTGATACCCTATAATGTCACTGTGCAGAATTCATTTTCTGGTGAGCATGACACACTCCCACACAACTTTAACAAATTGCTGCATTCTGCCCTAATTGAATGCTATTTCCTGAATATAGGGGAAAAAATACAAATTCCTAAAAGAAGAAACAATATTTATTTTAACAAAAATGATAAAAAGCCTCTGGTCAAATAGTGCCCAAGGCAGTTTTTTTCTATATTCAGTGCTGCAGTTACTCTGTCTTTTATTTCTCATTGATTAAGTAGAAACAACCTACTTCTCCACATTCATTCCTCTTCTACTAGCCAACTTCTCTTTCTACTTCTTAAGTGTAAGAAGACTTAGAACTTTCTTCTAGTTCAAGTTGTTACTGTTTCTTCCTCATGTCAACATCCCTTGAGGATGTAATGATGTACAGCTTTCCCCTCTCCTGACTCCTGGAGTGGGAAATGTTTAATGTATGATAGAAACATCCCAGCAAATGGACTCATATTTGTATCAAACAAAACACCTTTAAGAACTAAAGTACCCAGGCTGAAGATTCAGTTTAGTTCACTCAAGATCCTTCCTTCATTGAACTTATGGATAAAGCAAGACAAAAGAGACTATCCTTGATAGCTGTAACTTGGGTTTGTGGCAAGGGAGAGGGTCTAGTTTAAAGAGAGAAGATTCCTAACACTCAGGGAGGCATGGCTGGCTCTGCAGAGAGTTTGGTCAGAGCTGATTTCTTGTTTCCCTTCTGCCTCCATCCGGCCCTTACTTTTATGTAATGCTGCTTTGGAGTTGATTCTGACTCATATGACTCCAATGGGAGCAGACTAGAACTGGTCCATAGACTTTGCACAGCTGTGACCTTTCAGAGAAACTCTGGTGGTTCAGTGATTAAGCACAAAGTGTTGGTTATTCAAATCCGTCAGATGCTCCATGGGTGAAAGATGTCACAATCTGCTTCCATAAAGATTTACAGCCTTGGGGCAGTTCTACTCTGTATTAGAGTCTTTATGAGTCAGAGTTGACTCAGTGGCAGTAGATTTGGTTTGGGTTGGATCTTTCTGCAGCAGATTATCAGGCTTGTCTCTGAGTGGGTTGGAACCGCCAAACTTTCTATAAATAAGTGTTTAACCATCTGTGCCTCTTGGGAATTCCATTTGATATAATGAGTGTCTCTTAACTAGCATGTTGTTGTTAAGTGCTGTCGAGTTGATTCCAACCCATAACGACCATGTATAGGCTTCCAGAGGACAGGCTGGTGAGCTTGAACCACTGACCTTGTGGTTCAAACCAACTTTGCAGTCCAGTGTATTAACCCACAGCGCCACACAGGACTCTCCTTAACTAAAGTTGTTGTTGTTGTTAAGTGCCGTCGAGTTCGGGTCCAACCCATAGCGACCCTGTACAGGGTTTCCGAGGGTGTAAATCTTTGCAGGAGTAGAAAGCCTCATCTTTCTCCCGCGAAGAGGCTGGTAGTTTCAAACCGCTGACCTTAAGGTTCGCAGCCCGATTCGTAACATACAGAACCCTATAATATTGTCACTGTGGGCACTATGCTTTATGTATCAAACCAATGGAAACTAACCTTAATATCTACTTTTCACATAACTTATTGGTGCTAATCTAGACTTTCCATACTTTATGCAAGCTCACAGCTGACTCCAAGTTCGATGAGCTATCTGAAGCAATGATTTGCAAAATGTATTACTCTTATAGAAGTTAATGGGAGCAGGCATTATTTTCAGAGAAGCTGGAGGGCTTTAAGTTCCTACAAATTCTAAAGATAAGTAAAGAAGTTATAGATTTCCAAAATGTTCTTCTCCTTCCAAAGTTCCTTAAGCCCAAGCACCTACCTACCTGTCACTAAGACACTTCCCTCCAGTGCCACCTTGCACACCTGAAGCGATACTGCTGTCACGGTCACTATATCCAAGAAGTACCAGGCACGTGTCAGGTTCTATGCTGAGGACATCGGTATTCTTTTACATTGCCGATCCCAGCACACACTAATTCACCTTATCTTGAAAGTAGAAGATTTTAACAAATTAATTATTTGCTTAAATATGGCATGTACATAATGCATATCCAAAACATCAAAATCACCTTAAAGTGTTTTAAGTGTCTCTCTGCAGAATCAAGTCAAGAGAAAAAATTAGCAATATTACTACTTAACCAACCTCATAATGGCTAACGCTAGTTTTAGGGTCCTCGTGTGGCACTGCAAGATAAGCACTGGATGCTAACTGTTTTAAGGTCAGAGGTTCAAACCAACCAACCGTTCCTCAGAAACCCTATACAGGGTTGCTGTAAGTCAGAACAGACTCCATGGCACTGAGCAACAACAATAAAACTAATTTTGTCTGAAGTAGTAGCTTTCTCTTGATTCCAGTGCCTCCTTGCTTGCAAGATACAGAGAATGTCCTCCATTTAAATATGAAATGGGTATGAGTTGTAAAATGCACATGGACCAAAGCTACAAACACCTGCCCCTAGGGTGGTATCTTGCTCCTGATGTAAGCACACAGGTAAATGCTCTCACAGGGGGTGTGGTTGTGTAATCCTGGGGGAATCAGTGTTCCCAGAGTGTCTGTCCAACCTCAGGGAGAGTACAGCCTGCACATGGCAGATAAATGCACCCGTTTTCTTCCTTCCTCCCACTCTTATCAGCAGAGGTAGGAACACGCTTCACAGTCTATCTTTATCCTAATCGCTGCAGCTTGCCAAGTGTTCTGTTGTTTGTTTTGGTGTTTTCCCCACCTGTTTAGACAAAATGGCATATGCACAGTGTGCCTTAAAAGAAAACAAAAAAATGACACTTGCTTGAAATGTTTAAAGTTCAAAGTCTGTTTTGTGCTTGAACAAGACCTAGAAATAACATGATGTCACTTCACCATTCTTTGTGCCGAAAGAGACTGGTGGCTATTTGTGTACTTAGAAACCAAATGCAGCCTT